AAGATTTTTCTTATTTTTCCCTTCGAAAAGTTCAAGAATCGTTTCCCAAGTCGCGTGTAATATTTACAGGGAACACTTGGAAGCGTTTGCATAGATTTGCCCGGTAAACTTCTTCCCTATAGTGGCAGCGTTACCGTTTATCTTCGGCATTTTTCATCGATTACGCGATACGCGCGCGCAAAATGGGGTGAAATTTTCTTCTTGTTGTTTTAAGTTGTCAAAGAAGCTTTCGTATTTATCCCGTCTATCCATCTTCGGTGCGCGCCCCCGCCGCGATATATCACGACTCATGTCGGACCGTCAAACGCGCGTTGTCCCGACGATTTGGCTTTCTCGTCAACGGCGTGACGATGATATATTCGCTAGAACGAAATCGTTCTCTATCGAAAAACAGAGTCGAGCCTCGAGAAACCGTCAAACTATTTCTCTCGAGCGGATCGTCGTCGTTTCAATTGCGACGGTTCGAAACAGGCCACTACGTTGATAAATAATTTATTCAATCTTATGTCTCTTTTACTCTTCCTTCGTCGTTCCTCGACTTCTCGACTCTGATGCTCTCGAGTGGAAAATCAGGAAGAAAACTGTCCTTCGTTTCGAGAACCGTAAACGAGCGAACGGACGTGGTAGGCATAGAAAGAGAATTTTCACAGAGTTCACGGTTCTATCTATGCAATTGACAATAAAAGCCGCGACCGTTTTAAATATACATCGATATCTGTATACTTTTGATGGACGATTCGTCCTGATCTGAATATCTCAACTCTCTAAGCGTCTATTTATTTCTGCCTTCGTTCACACTCGATTCGCAATTGTTTTTAATCCTTTTCACGTGTTACGTATACACACGCAACAGAAAAGATTGAGATAAAATTGAGATTGAGATCGACCGGATTTTTCCTAATTTGCGAGTAATAAATAGAGCAATAATAAATTCATCGATTAGCTCGATTTTATATATTTTTTCGAAATATTGATTTGAGGATTTCGAAATTTCCACTTTGAGAAAACGTTCAAAAGATCTATACTCCTGCTTTTCTCCATCCCTGCTTCTCAATGGTGAAAAATCGGGCGTGTGAAAGCTCGGATCGGAAATGATCGGGGATAGAATAAAAAGTCGGCCATAGAAGATTCCCTACAGAGGATCCTAGATGCGGTTTCCCTTGATCTCCGAGAAAATAGCGGGGGGAGGGGGGTAATCTTTAAGCACGTTTAAACGTTCCCACGAGGATCGAGAGAAACGGGCGGCGCATCGCAGTACAATTCCACCGATGTTGCAAACGCGTAACCGAAATCGATCGGTAGATCAGGGGTGTTTCGCGTTTATAGACGTGCAACGTGGCGCGCGTGCTCTTACTGTTCGCCACCTGTGCACTGTATTCACTCGGTTTACCCTGTATGTATCCGCAGATGTATCCGCAAGCGCGTTCTTGTGTACGTTTCATCGAGAGGTACCCAAGTAGCTCTATAGTTGCCAGCTATCACCGGTGTTGTCGATCAGGAAGGAAAGCTTGACACACGACAAAGTGCATGCATGCGCGATACATCTAGGTCAACCCCTCGTACGATTCTCGTGTGATTCTCCCTTGTGACGATGTGCAAGCCAAGTGTTTGAACTACTTAAGGATATAAACAAAGGAAATTGATTGGTTGATTGCTTTTTCGCTTCAGATTCTTTTTATATATATATATATTGTGTATTTTTTGAAGAAGAAGATGAACAAGATTTCGTTACTGTGTTATAATATTTTTTTGATTAAAAATTTCTTAACAAGCAGTTCCAATTTATGGAAACTCGTTACGTATGGTTAGCTGTTCCTGTACTCCTCTTTGTTCGTCACTCTTTTACGTTTCTTTGCTCGTTTTCACGTGTGAAACTTGTAAACTTTCGCAGTCAGTACGCGCAAAGGATCCCTTTTGTTTTGTTTTTCGAGAGAGGGAGCGTAAAAAATGGTAATGTTTTTTGAGATATGAAAGTCAAGAGCAATCAAATACTAACGATTTGTTCTTTTTTTTTTTTAAGACGTAAGAGATAAACGCTTTTTGACTTATTTGCGCGTTGTTATTGTTGCCGTTTTGATTAGAAAAACGGTTTTAGACACACGGGTATCGTTTATTTTGTTCGTTAGTGGAGAATTCGTAAAAATATATATACATATATATAAACGAAAACTGGAACACATGCAGTCAAATATGTAAAAAATTTTCGAGTGGATCGTTAGATACGATATTGCACATTTTCATCGGGGGAAAAATAATTGACAAATGTCACAGACAGGATTTTTAGCTTTAGTTGTAACAAAAAAGTTTTTTTATTTTGCTCAAAGGATGAAATACTAGTAGGTGAGTCGAAAAAATTTTATTCAATCACAAATAATTAAATCCTGCGTAAAAGGAATATTTTTTTCTACTACTATATAAATCTTTCTGAAGTACTATATAAAAAATTGATAAATATATATTCTATTTTAACGTATATTTTGCATAGATATATGATAATAAAAATTTATTCTGTTCACGGTTTAATGAAAACGATTAAATTATCGAATAAAAAGATATAATATACGAATGAAAGATCTGACAACCGTTACGAAATTTTTTTTTTTAATTAAACAGACGAATTCATTTATGAAACTACTCTTATCCTTAATCCCGCCTATCAACCATCTATTAATCCTTTTGCAATTTTTCAATTTCTCATCCCAAAGGTTGATAAACGTGATCTCGACGTATCTACATTTTTATTGTACTACATAATTTGAATTTTTTGAACGACAATGAATTATCTACGTGCATTATCGATTGGGTTAATAATATTCTTATGAATGAACGTTTCATTCTCGACGTGCAAACACGTATCTTATACATAATATTTGTCGAGTGACGTGTATTAATTAGTGACGTATATTAGCATGAATAGAGACATGAATTCCTCTAGAGATCAGAATGTTACGTATCCTCTGACGTCTAGCGGGTGACGTCGATCGATAGATTGATTACGCTATACACAAGAAGGAAGACACCTGCATTCGATGTGCATTCGACATCGTGTACTTTTGTTCCACCAATTTCATTATTTTCATAATATTGTCAATTAAAGCTGTCTGTATCAAGATGAATAAGCTATATACTCTGGTTTGCTTAGATATATGTATCCACGGTTATGTATACATCTATCACTATACCTGGGAGAGTACACAGATTCAGATATGCATAAATGTATGTACACACATGCATATTTATGCGTATACTCGAGAGTATTCGACGGGTATTTCTTGGGTCCGATGACTAATTTGTACGCGCAATTTTTACAGAATTTTACACGGCTATTTCAAAACAAACATTGAATGTTTATTACGGAATTGAAAAAAATTGGCCCGTTAATAGTAGTAATTTGATACTACTACGTAGATATACTGTGGAGTTTTAAACAATGATGCGACTGTTATTTGATCACGTTTAATATTTATGTTTCGTCTAAAGTAAAATTTATTTCGGCTAAAATCATCAAACTTCTAGAGTCGTCATTACAAATGTATATACAAGTACGAATAAATTTAATTTATATGGAAATTGTACTTCCATTCTCTGTAATTATTGCGCGGAATAATATATAATGTAAATGTACGAATAAAAGAGAATTCAAAACATCCCAGTTAAGGGGAAAATAATCTGGAAAATTGACTGAGCAATACTCTATCAAATTATAATATTTCAACTTCAAATATGTGAAATGATCAATATATTAATTTCCTCGATATATTAAAATAAATTTTCAAATAAAATTATAAAAGGAATCGTATTCGCAGGTTTTTTTTTTAAAGTTATAAGAAATATATAAAAGATCATAAATATTTCTAGATTTATATTTCGAACTTTACGAGATTTTTATTAGTAGCTAGATAATTTCATCTTTTATCTATGAATAAATAAATATTTAATATAACATCGAATGAATCGAATTTTATTTCAATCGAATGTGGACTCAAACGTATCGTTTCACGAAATTTCACATTTCTAACATTGATATTTAATTCTATTGGTCATTGAGATCATCTATTAATATCGTATTAAATACGGAATTTAGTGCATCGAATGTAGTAGGTTATATGCACCTGTCTCGAGTTGCAAGGATTCAAGATGATCTGTATAGAGATCTGAGAGTCTAGAATTGCCAATATTGGGTCCTATGCAACCAAATCTCTCGATATCGAATTTCTCACGTTTTAATTCATTTTTATTAAATAAAAATCTCGTATTGTTTGTTATTTCATCATATAAATAGCAAACATTATATAAAATTTAACGTTTTTAACGTTATAATAGAAAATTTTTAATGAGAAATAAAATAAAATATTTATATTCTTTTATTGAATAAATATATACATGTATATATACATGTATATATAGAATATATACATATATATTCTAATTAAATGTTGATTACATTATTTAGTTTAGAAAACATTCTTTTTATTGAATGATAACATCATTAATGAATTGAAATTTCATCGTATGATAATGAATTTAATGAAAAATATGATAATGAGTTTATTATTCTTAATAAACTTGACAAAATGTAATCATCAAATAATTATGGAATATAAATGTATACATATACATATAATATCACTTACCTCAAAGAAGAAATCAGCCGAAGAATTGTCTTCTTCCATTTCACAGTGTTTCTTGATAACGAAACAATAATCACATACTTTTACAACCAATAATTATGCACTAAAATTCTAATTTTTACACAATTTTTATCGACACGATGAGTTGCGAATTACGATGCGACGCCACATTGCCGGTATTGGCGGTAAAACTATCGATACCTTCTTTGACAATCGATGCTGGTTACCGCGAGCAGCCACTAGGTGTCAGCGATGCAAGTATCGATATAAATTTCGAAGGCGTCACGTGTGTTCGTGCGAATTCGTCGAATTTTATTGTTTGCAATCAAAGTACGCGTTCCACGTCTTATTCGGTCGATATAAACATATATAATATAAACATTCCGTTTGTATTCGTGATCGAGTTTCGTGTTGTGTTCGAACGAATTAATACGCAGTTCGTTTTCGCCATTCGTCTTTGTAACATGTCTGTCTCACGCTACACTGAGACAGCTCACAGACAGTATTTCCAAATTTTTATTCAATCGTAGTTGAAATTTTGCGTTATATGTGATATATGTGAATCGCGACGCGTATCGTGCAACAAGATTTCGATGCAACGTGTTTCTAACCTTATCGTTTTTTCGTGTGACGCGACAATGTCGTTTAACGGTAGTGTACTTATTCCTTTTTTCCGGTCTCAAAGGTGTGTTAGAATCGATGGTGTTATAGAGGGCGTTGCTGTAACAAGCTTACTTTCCCGCGAATTCTCCGGCATCAAACGATAAGAATATTACGCAGTTTATCGCGAGAACGTCTCTCGGCTTTGTTTTACGACGGCCATTAACCCATTTACGTCCAGCTAGAATTGTCGTACAGAACGTTATGAACGGTGTTTCGCCAGGCGACTCTTAATCCTTAAAGGGAATGGAACGGTGACAAATTTGAGAGGCTGGTCGCGACGTAAATGTATTAAAGAAACCGTTTTGTCCGTTGAACGGAAACGTAATTGTTTTACGTGCCGCGTGACCATTCGTTTCGTAACCATGACGAGGATAACTAGATGTGAAAGCACAGGGAATGTCAGTGATTATTCGCAAGCTTCGTGATCGCGAACGCAAGTTTTTTGGCTTCATCCACTGATAATGTTACGCCATGCCCTAGTAACACTATACATTGATGACTGATTGACGACGACTCTTGGCATCGATTGTCTTTCTTTGTGTACCCTCTTTATCGCGGAAACAGTGGCGTTTGTGTGTAGGTAGATATGACTATTTGAAATTCTATTGTCTTTCTCTACCTCCTATTTTACGCGGCGAATCTACTTCCGACTGGATTACGATTCCTGACAGAAAAATTTTCGATTGGATGAGAAAGGAAAACGAGTCGGAGGAGAAAAAAATAATCGAGAGAAAATATTTATCGAAAATGTTGGACAATATTCCCTGATGCGTAAGTTATATGTACATATTTGTTATATTATATTCGTAAGATATATCGTCAGTCTATAAAAACAATGAACAACTTTAAACAAATAATTTTCCTAAAAATTTAAAAAAAAAGTTTTATATAGTCATATTTATAAATAAATAATTAAAAAAAATTGAAATATAATTAAAACATTATTAAATTATTAAAAAAAAGAGAGATTAAACATAAGAAATTAGAAAGTATTTTTGAGATTAATGCATTTAAATATCGGAATTTGCAATTTCTCAATTGTATCTTTGTTTTTTTACACTGACAATATGAAATGTTCGTTTGAATGATTTAAATCTATTTTCGCGATATACGTTTATACGAAAATATTTGGCAAAATTATATGAATTCCAACGCTGAATAAAAAACAATGATTTTAAAAACGGACATTTCATAGTAAAAGTTATATTTTATTTTAATATATTACAATAGCTATAACAATTTATGAGAGAAAAGTGACATATTTTCTCGTAAGTCGCTATTTCTTAAAATTTTGATATTGGTAGAGAAAAAATTATTTTTCCAAGATCCCACTGTTATTTCAAAATCACTTGGTGCGTTTTAAATGGAACGTCGAGTCGGAGGAGAAAAAAATATTCCTTCGGGCGACTCGTTGTTCGTATATATAGGGATACAGAAGGGATATAGAAATAGAAGCGAGATACCCAGTATTTTGTTTACTCATAAAACACGTTCGATGTTTACGCACTTCGCTCTAGACATAGATGTAGTCCGTTAAGTCTCGTTAAATTTATTTACTTACGTACTTGTAGGTAATCTAAAACTTCTTCCTTGTTTATTTTATTTGCTTTGACATATGCGCAGTTTCTTATTACTTTTATGGACGGAAAAATAATCGATTAATCAGATTACCTCGAACTACTTACCTGGTTATATCCATTCGTCTTAAAATAAATTTCTTTTTTCTTTTTTTTTACTTTCTTTATGATTTATCATTTGTTTCCTTTTATATTTTATAAGTGCATTTTTTGCACAAAATTTTATTCTCGATCGTTATTCTCGAGTTTTTCTTACTTCAGATTTTTTTCAACCAGGATTTGCTCGAGATATGATAACCGACAATCGACCCTCCGCGATTCGTTCTCATTTTTGCTCGTCACCGTTCTAACCTCAAGAGTGTTTTTTCCTTTTTTTTTTTTTTTTACTTCTCCCTCGCGACAAGTACAAAGCGGTCCTATTAAGCCATATAACCCGTCGGCGACGGTTTTACATCTGCTTTGCAATTCCTCTGAAAAGAGGATATAGATATCCTACGAAAATACCGCTAGCAATTTCTTCAAATTGCGGTCAAAGAAAGAAGGGAGTGCGAAAATCTCATAGCGGATAGTTTATCGTGAATTTATAGCTTTTATCTCGAATCATTTTTTTCATTTTGAAACTCTTTTTACCGTTTTTGTCCGTTTGTTACCATCGACATTCCAAAGATGAAAGATCGACAGTTTAATGCGCGTGCACGAAAATGTGCTTTTTCCGTCTGGTTTTATGAATTCTAAAGATTAAAAGTGCAACAAAAAGTCGAAGACAAAAAGGTATGTTGAATAACAGGCAACATGAATGTAGGAAAAAAGTAAAAAGACTTTATTTACGCTCTTTTAATTTTTATAAAGACGCAAGGTTGAAAATGGTACAGGAAAATAATCATTGAAATACTAAAGTGACGAGTTGATTTTTCAAGAATTTTGCTAAAATTGCTTTTTCTAGACTCGGTAGTTAAATATGAACTGCTATAATTTTCATTAGTTACCACGTTTTATATTTATCAAGGGAAAAAGGTTTGCTCACAGGTTCCGAAAGAAAAACGTTATTTTGAAAAGAAATCCAACGTCTAAAATGTATATTTTTCGATTTAGACGATACATCTACGTATTTTGCGTATCAATTCACGAGCTAAATTTTGAGCTTGGGCTAAATTTTATTTTGACAAATTTTATTCCAAAGTAATTAGAAATATCCATCAAGTCATCGAGTCATCGTCATATTTTTCACGATAATATTTCGTTCCAATTTCCATCACGTATAAAATATTTTAACGATATTTATGTTGGCCGAAGATGTTTATCCCATATTTTTCTCGCCGGTTAGGGTCGAAGGTTAAGTCAATGCACTATATCACGGGTTGATATATTGAATGGGGACAGGGTCAAGCTCGATCCATAGTGAGAAATTTATTTGCTCGTAAAAGGACGACGAGAAAAGATCCTTGTCGGTTGTTTTAGTTGTTTCTTCGGGTATGAAAAAGTGTCGAGGATGCGTGTTTGCGAATTCACTTGTCATCCTCTCTCGCGCTTTCTACCGTTGAATCGTGCTTACCTTACCACAAAGGAACCACGTGGCTTGACTCAGTTCGCGGGAACATTTTGCCATTCCGTAACATCTTTTCATCGTGAAAAAAAAAAAAAAGAACCATCGAGAAATGAATTGACTTTTCTCTTCGAAAGAAAAATTATTTTCCAACGACCAGATACTTTCATTATCGTCGTATTGATCGTACATTTTACAAAATCTCGAATGGATCATACCATGGAGGCATGGTTTTAATTCACAGGTATATGCACAGGTATATTAGGTTACACAGAGTTAACGAGAGTTTAGAATTATCATTTTCGTCATATGATTATAATATCATTTACATCATTTGCATATATTAAACTTGACATGGATGTTAAATTAGAATGGATGTTATATTAAAATGGATGATGTATTATTATTAAATGTTGAACAAGTACGTTACGCACGTTACCCGGGAAATTATGAGGCGATAGAAATTGCACGAATGCATTTATATTTTTCTAATTTAAAGAACAACGTTCCGCCTCGTTGTACGATATATACCATCCCGCTAGATGCAATAAATCCTCAATGAAGGGATTACCAAAGAGCGCAAATCGAATAGCCTAATTTATAGACTTGGCAAACCACGAAGTTATCAGCTTAGAATTGCGAAACGGCATAGAATTGAGAAATTACTCGATCACTCGCATAGGATCAAGTTGCATCATCTTCCTCGATATTTTATCCTTTAAAAATTTCTTCATTCGATATATCTGATATATCACGATATATCAAATATCATTCTTGGATCGAGCCAACCGTATAAAATTCAACTTACATGTCTGAATGTCCCGTATTCTTTTTTTACTTCTTTCCTCCCCCCCCCCTCCCTTTTTCGTTTTTAACGCGAAAGATAACAAGGCACACAATTTTTAGCAGAATTTTCCGAAAAGAATTGGCGTAATCGGTGATATAAATCGGAAATATGAACGAGCACGGAAAAATGGTACACAGTAGGAAAGTTCGTTTCCGGATTAATCCCGAGATTAACCTCGGGGTGGGATACTGGCGCCGTTACGTGCCAAAGAGAGGGCGATATAGGAGATTGAACGTCCAGACTAATCTCGTTCGAAATTAAGCGGCTTATCTTTCGTTGATGTAGTGCCCGTTTCCAACCACTTAGTAGATTCTTGGTGAGAAAATTTCTCGTGTCGCCAATGGTGTTGAAAAATTTGCACACTTTATTTCTCGCGAACTAGGTTTGTCCACCAGTGGTGAGGTGCGCGTACCGCGTGAAAAATCTTCGCCAACAAACAACACCTGTTTTCCTGTGAATCCACCTCGAATCGAACCTCTATTCTTCTCTCTCTCTCTCTCTTCTCGAGATCAAACTTCTACCTTTCATCCTTTCGAATTTGACGAAGAATTCGTAATAAATTATATACGAAAATTCGTATCGGAGAAATTGAAATTCATTTCGATTATTTCTCTTACTTTCAATAGTTTTACCCCGATACGATAAACGACGTTTTCGCGCGGAATGAATCAATCTTGTTAGAAATATTTTTAATAAAATTGGATATTCTATTTATCGCGAAATTTAAAAAAAAAATATTAAGCGAGAAGCATTTCTAATCTTTTTATAGATAGATCGATTTTCGATACGATTTATGAAACGGTTGCATGATTGATTGATCCGCGAAATTAAGTTTTTCGATTCCTTCTCTAGAATATTCGTGTCTTAGCAAGAGCGCAGCGACATCGATTTTATCGCAAATTGATTGACCACGAGGAAACACGAGATTCTGCTCGTCGCGGGGCGCCAAACTCTGTTTCCTTGTTATTATTCAATTGCAATTCGAACGAGTCTGGATATTTCATACACTCGAGTATAAGTCATGATTGAAATGCATATAATTCGAACGGTGGAACAATGGTAGGTTGGAACGATACATTCACGCGTATGTAGGATGCTATTGTGTTCGATTCGCAATGGATTCCCATCTAATATGAAAACACACGTGTCGATATATATATAATTTCTGAAACTACGTTTAGGCGGGTAGTGATGGGGAAAGCAACTGGTACCGTAACCAAATAATACATTGTGTTACCGCGAAATGCATCGAAGGATTGATAGTTTTGGATATTACGGGGACAATGAATAAGATCAGATTTTGGAAGGCAGATTATTAACCATGAGAAATTCTCTGCTTTGTTTCTCACTTTGAATGGTTGAATTATGATCAACTATGGCTTCTATGTTACTTGTCTCTTGATTTAGCTATTATGAGTAATTTTGTATATCCGTGTGAATAGAGTTGGATTGCATTGTCTCACTGGAGAATAGAATATCAAGAAATTGAAATATTGAAAAGTATCGATGGATTGAGGAATTTTTTTTTTTCCTTTTTATGTAAAATCATCTCGTTTATCGATGGAAATTAATACTTTACGGGCAGTGTTATCATATTAATGTTCTCTATTAAGCGCAGTTAATAATTAGTTTTACTTGTAATTCGTAATTTTACACTTGTGCGTCATTACAATCGAATAAATAACATTGTGCATAGTTTATCTCGCCAAGTTAATTAATTTCCATCAAATAATTTAATTAATAGTTTATAATTAATTCGTATTATATATTATTTAATCACGAATAACGTTACATTTCATTATTC